CAGTTGGTCCAAAGATCGGCAGCCAGGTTATTAATGGGAGCTGGTTACAAGGAGTGGTCAACCCCCCTGTTAAAACAGCTCCACCGGCTGCCAATAAGTTTCCGGACCCAAGTCAAGGTGCAGGTGATTACCTACAAAGCCCTAAATGGTTCAGGACCTGCCTATCTTCGAGATCGCATCTTCCCCTACGAACCAGTACGGATCCTGAGATCATCTGGGGAGGCTCTGCTCTCACTTCTGCCACTGTCTCAATGGCCTTCTCGATGGTGGCCCCTCGGCTCTGGAGCTCCCTACTTAAGGAGATCAGATTGGCACCCACCCTATCCATTTTCTTGGATGTTCTGTTGTGCATTTGATTAGGAAGCTCACCAGAAATTGGACTGATCTCACCAATAGAAATCTTGCCAATAGAAATTAGGAGCCCCCAGTGGCACAGTGGGTTAAACCCCTGTGTCGGCAGGACTGAAGACCGACAGGTCACAGGTTCGAATCTGGGGAGAGGCGGATGAGCTCCCTCTATCAGCTCCAGCTCCTCATGCGGGGACATGAGAGAAGCCTCCCACAAGGATGATAAAAACATCAAATCATCCAGGCGTCCCCTGGGCAACATCCTTGCAGACGGCCAATTCTCTCACACCAGGAGTCACTCCTGACATGACCAAAAGAAAAAGAAAAAAAGAAATTGGATTGATCTCACACAACTCCTCCATTGCGTCAGTTCCACTGGCTGCCAATTAGCTTCTGAGCACAATTCAAAGTGCTGGTTTTAACCTACAAAACCCTATACGGTTCCGGCCCAGTTTACCTATCTGAATGTATTCTCCCCTATGAACCAGCAAGGTTGTTAAGATCTTCTGGAGGGGCCCTGCTCTCAGTCCCACCACCCTTGCAATCGCATCTGGTGGGAACGAGAGACAGGGCCTTTTCTGTGGTGGCCCCCTGGCTATGAAACTCTCTCCCAATTGAGATCAGATCTGCCCCCTCCCTCCTGAACTTCAGGAAGCTAGTGAAATCCTGGCTATGGAACGAGGCATTCCCAGAATGATGGCGGAGACTGGCAATTGACTAAAGTTATCGACCACATATGTGGACTGAGTTGGACATGATTTTATCTTGACGAACTGGCTTTTTATGTATTTTAGTCTATATGTATTTTAATTTATTGTTGATGTACGATGTTCTAGATTGTATTGTTAGCATTGAATCCTTGCTGTTAGCCGGTCTGAGTCCCTCTACGGAGGTAGAGAAGATCAGGATGCAAAAGTTTTAAATAAATAAATAATAAATAATAAATATTTCTTCGCACTTTAGTTGGCCCTCCCACCTGTAATCCTGTTACTGTAAATGCCTAAGGATGTTACCTTCCCAGCTGTGACCTTTAACTGAATTTGAAACAAATCTTGCACTTTCCCTGGCTCTGCCCAGGAATGATTGCACATTCCCTGATCCCCAAACTCAGCACTTAATCTTTCAGCCATGATACTGTTTTTATTTTGTGTACTGTGATTGATGTTATTTGATGTTGTTGTTGTTTTCATTTTGTGGGTTTTAATCTGTATTTCATGCTTCACCCTTGTAAACCGCCCCGAGTCCCTTCAGAGAAATGGTGGCAGGGTATAAGAATAAAGTTGTTGCTGTTGCTGTTGTTGTTGTTATTTGAAACACAACAAGATGAGTCCACAGCAGACTGGATCACATGCCGGACACTTCCCATGTGTCTAGGACTGTGTGTTGTATTGGCAAATAATGCTTGTAGATCCCAGTTAGGTGGCCTTCTGTGGCTGACAGATGGTAATTTTGTCACCGCCGATTGTGTTTAAGTGCAGGCCAAGGCCTTTAGGCACTGCACCCAGTGTGCCGATCACAACTGGGATGATGACGATGATTATTATTATTATTATTTCCCTTTGCTACTGCATGTAGGTATTACCAACCTATAGCTGGACACAGCTTCCTGGGAGATGTACACATCAAAAACAAAATAATCTCCCATGATTACATTCCATGAACCCTCTTCCTATATGGAAGTCTTGAACCAGCATGAATTGGGCAATGAGATAGAAACAAAGAAGAGCTCTGCTTCTATCCGTTCATTTGCCTACCTAGATAGCTTTCAAAGGAGAATGCTCAATGGAAGGCGACAGTCATAGGAGTCAAAGGTGAAAAATTAAGTTGCTGGGTGGTAAGAAGCTGCAACTATTTTCAAGATACCATCTTCTGGGCTTAGGCTTGGGGCCTCATCACACTAGAGCATGGATCCACTTTAAATCCAGTTTCTGCCTCCTGCAAAATTCTGGGGCTTGTAGTTTAGGGAGGGGGTTTTAAACTGCTCAGCCAAACAAGTCCTAGGCCTCACTGAACTACAAACCCCAGAATTCTGCAGGAGGCAGAAACCAGATTTAAAGTGGATCCATACTCAGGTGTGATGAGGTCCCAAGCCTAAGCCCAGAAGATGAGCAGGAATCTGGCCCCTCTCAGGATGATGGGCGCACTGAATTCACTGTAGTGAGTGGAGGAAATGCAACCAAATTTCAGTGTGACTCTGAACAGAAGAGCCTTCCCAAACTCTAGAGCGGGCCTCCTGTTCTCAGACTGGGGAATACGTACAGAAGTGAGGGTCCAGGCTTTAAGCAAGGGCTTGTTTATTCAGTCCTGGGTCATCATTTGTTCCTTTCTTGGACAGCTCCAAGAATAGAAATTTAAAACAGGGTGAAATATAACCCAGCTTTAAGTCCAATGTTTCTCTCAGCTAAACAAGGATCTGAAGTAATGTTAGCTTGGCAAGTGGTGACCAGGACTTCATGTTATGGATTGGCTTTTGCTGGTACTCTTGGCAGGTGCAAGAAAACAACAGCACTTGGTCGCCATCTTGTTCCGGCCACTGACATTGATGGACGCCGCCTCCATGACTTTGAGCGCACCAGTGTTTTCTATTCCTCTAACCAGCCAGCTCTTGGACAAAGAAGGCAATGCATACAAGGATGGCCATTTTCTGTTCACATTGTGATGAGTGTCCCATGCAGAATACTGGATAATCAGTGGATCTTTGTGCATTACAAGCTGTGTAACTTGCCTTAATCCAGTTCTTGTGACTCTAGGCACCAAGTGGATGGAAACCAGTGTCCTGATTGCACACCAGGCAAAGAAGAAGCCACCTGACTTATGTTGTGCTTTCCATGTTCTTCGTGCATCTGAAGTGTGCATACTGCAATTTGAATTCACACACTACCAGTGAAAGATAATCTTGCACACCTTGTTTCAAGGTGTAGAGATCACTAGAGGAGGGGCAGATGGTCCTCTGGGGAAGACATGCTGGGAAGACAATAGAGTTTGCACGGGCAGAGTCTCAAAACAAAAGATTTGTTTTGAACAACAAATCACAAAATTGACCACCCTGGTTGGGAAATTCTGGGGGTTGTGCTCCCAAATTATAACTTTCCTCAGCTCTGATGATAATTTCCCTCTCTCCAAGTGAAGGCAAAACCTTGGTGAGATGGAGAAAGATGTGTCCAAGCCTTTTCCCATTCATTCTGGGGGTGTATGGCAAATACAGCTAGATAAGGGGAGCCTCTGGTGGTGTAATGGGTTAAATTCTTGTGCTGCCAGGACTGCTGACAAAATTCGGTGGTTTGAATCCAGCGAGAGGAGTGAGCTCCCATCTGTCAGCTCCAGCTTCTCATGTGGTGACATGAGAGAAGCCTCCCACAGGATAGTAATACATCCAGACGTCCCCCGGGCAACGTCCTTGAAGACGGCCAATTCTCTCACACCAGAAGCAACTTGCAGTTTCTCAAGTCGCTCCGAACATTTAAAAAAAGCTAGATAAGTGCACCCAGCAGGTGCATAAACTTAATTGTATCAGAGCTGCCGAGATGGTTCATGCACACCTCCTGCCATGTATCCTAAGTGGTGTTACAGTGCCAATTGTGCTGCCATCTCCCCCATAAGATGTATCCCTCCAGCGCGCTCACGGTGACATAACATTTCCTGCACTACTGTGGACTAGTGACATCACGAGCTCCCATTGCCATTCCCCAAATGCATCCCCACATCCTGCTGGGTGACAGCACGGCAGCGCAGCCAGCGAAGTGTGGTGCTATCAAAATAGCCTGGAAAACATCACAAGACTCCCTGGGCTCCGAATGATCTTGCCAAGTGCTGCCAGGAGAGCAAAAACAAACTCAGCCTGTGAGTTTGGGTCCGAGTCCGGTCTCTCAGGGTTTCCAGGGCTAGGTTTCCTTCGTGGCACCCCTGAAACGAGAAAGGCTCCCATCCGGAGCGGCACTGCTGTCTTCCAGGAACACCAACCCAGAACCTGCATCAGTGCTGCAGGCAACTGGGTCTCCCTTCCGTGCCAAAGCGGCGAGGAGCAGAACCGGGGCAGGAAGCAGCGGCGGGACCCTAGAGTTGCGTGTGGAGCCGGGACCAGAGCATTGCTCTCCCTGGGCCACGCCGCAGGGGGCCGGGCAAAACACACCTGGGTGACAGTGCAAGGGGGAGGCCAGCGGTCACCTGAGCAGCAAACAGAGCAAACAGCACCTGAGCAGCAAACAGGACGGGCTCCCTTGGGAAGGATGCCTCTGCTTCCCCTTCCCTGCCAGGAGAGGCATCTGGGCAGCAGAGAGGCAGCAGAGAGCTGGGCAGCAGAGAGGTATCTGTGTCTCAGCAGGCGAGGAAGAGGCCACGATCCAAGGGATGAGGCGCTCCCTGCAACTCCCGCTTTCTCAACGGAGAAATCCCATCTCCCTCCGGTACACAGATCCCACGAGTCCCAAGCCCACTATCTTCGGTTCCCAGGCATCCACGCAGCCCCTCAACCCGACGGAGAAAGAAGAAGAGGGAAAAGAGGGGAGAGGGAGGAAGAGGGCGCGCCACCTCCTTATGCTTGGTCCCCACTCGATCGCTTCCTCGAGCCCAACTTTCCGCCTCCACCCAAAGTCTCCCACTTCTTCGGGAAACTTTGCCCCGCCGTTGTGGGTTCGGCTGTCCCTCCTACTCACCGGGAAGAAGTCGGGGTGCCCCGGGAGCGCCATCCCGGGTAGGCTGCCCGGTTGCCCGCCTCTCGCTGGCGCGGCTCTGCTTCAGGCGCCCACTTCTCTCTCTTTCTCTCTCTTTCTCTCCCTTTCTCCCTCTCTCTCTCTCGGTGTGTCTCCGGCGAGTCCGGCGGAGGGAGCGCCTCTTTAAGTAAAGCCTCGCGCCCCGGAGGCGGCCAATCCGCGAGGCCGGAGCCGAGGCGGGCGGCCAATAGCGAGGCCGGAGGGAGGAGCCGCTTGGCACTGATTTACTACCTGGAATTGCAGGGGAAGCGCGGCCAGGCAGCGCCGATCGATACGGAGCCAAACTGTGACGGGCGGAGGGGGGGGGGGAGCGCGCTCTCTCTCTGTGTGTGTATGTGTGTATGAGAGACACGGAAGAAGCGGGCGCGCGGCTCTGAAGAACGCGGCCCGTAACCTTCACGAGGGAGACGGGCTTCCTTGGAGCAGCCTTGGCACAGGAGAGAAACCCCGGGCAGTGAGGGAGGCATCCCTCTCCGCCCACGCCCACGCCAGATCCCTCGCCACGGCTTCGCTCCCCTGCGCTTTCTTGACATGGCTGGTCCTCCCGTCCTCTTCCTTTCCCGCGGAGAAATCATCCCACGGGAAATCATCCCACGGGAGACACCCGTGTCTGTCTTAAATCGCACGGGATTGCCAATCTCAGCCCCGGCGCCCGGGCAACGCCCCCTCCCCGCCCTCCTCGGTGTTGCACTCCAGAACAGGATCCCCTCTAAACACCACACAGATGGGTGAAAATAGCAAGCAGTTTATTGAGGGTAATATAAGCCAAAGCAATAATAAGTAATCCAAAGTAAAAGGGAATCCAATTGATTAGGAAGGAATAGGAACAATGCCATGGTATTCCCTGTAGTAACCTACGGATGTGAGAGCTGGACCTTAGGGAAGGCTGAGCGAAGGAAGATAGATGCTTTTGAGCTGTGGTGTTGGAGGAAAGTGCTGAGAGTGCCTTGGACTGCGAGAAGATCCAACCAGTCCATCCTCCAGGAAATAAAGCCCGACTGCTCATTGGAGGGAAGGATACTAGCGACAGAAGTACTTTGGCCACATCATGAGGAGACAGCAAAAGCCTAGAGAAGACAATTATGCTGGGGAAAGTGGAAGGAAAAGAAGAGGGCAAGATGGATGGATGGCATCCTTGAAGTGACTGGACTGACCTTGAAGGAGCTGGGGGTGGTGAAGGCCGACAGGGAGCTCTGGCGTGGGCTGGTCCATGAGGTCACGAAGAGTCGGAGACGACTGAACGAATGAACAACAACAACAGGAACAATTAGTCCAAAGAGAAACAGTCCAGAAAGTCCAGGAAACTAGATACTTGATTTCAAAGGCAAATAACAGATAATAATAATAATAATAATAATAATAATAATAATAATAATAATAATTAATAAACTTTATTTATACCCCGGCTACCATCTCCCCAGGGGACTCGGTGCGGCTTACATGAGGCCAAGCCCAGAATACAACAATACAAGCAATAACAACAACAATACAAGCAATTAGGCACCTAATCTATGAATCAAACAAAGACAGGAGTCCACGACTCTGCTCCCCTGCGCTTTCTTGACTTGGCTGCGCTTCCCATCCTCTTCCTTTCCCGCAGAGAGAAGGAGAAAGGGGCAGCCAAGGGAAATCATACCCACGGGAGACACCGGGTCTGTCTTTAATCGCAGCCCTGTGACTGGGCAACGCCCCCTCCCTGCCCTCCTTGGTGTTGCACTCCAGAGCAGGATCCCCTCTCACTTTAAACACCACACAGATGGGTGAAAGTAGCAAGCAGTTTATTGAGGGTAATATAAGACAAAGCAATAAAAAGCAATCCACAGTAAAAGGGAATCCAATAGTCCAGAGAACTCCAGGAAACTAGATACTTGATTTCAAAGGCAAATAACAGAAAATAATAATGATGATGATAATAATAATAATAAACTTTATTTGTATACCGCCACCATTGGGCGGCTAACATGAGGCCAAGCCCAAAATTACAGTGCTGCAAATAAAATACAAAGAAGCAAAAATACCATCAAAATAAATACATGAAATAACAAAAATAGTTTCAAAATAACATGATAGAGAAATTGAACACAGTGGGCGGGCCAAATGTACTAGGATAAAATTGATAAAACCCTGAATGAGATAAGTAGTGGGAGAGTGTGTTTCTGAGGGAGGAGCTCAAAAAGAACGAACAATGGGGTTAGACCTTCATTAAGGATGGGGAAAGTGCATAATGAGGATGGAACTGTAGTTGGGACAGAACAAGATATGGAATATATGTTAACTCGCCCGCCAAAGGCACATCGGAAGAGCCATGTTTTTAGGTCTTTCTTAAAAGCTGCCAGGGTAGGGGCTTGCCTAATCTCACTTGTTCACATGCTTGTGGATTTCAAGGGCTTCTCCGTGTAGTATGACATGGTAGTTGTTAGAGTGGTCCACCATTTCTATGTTCTCAAATAATATGCTTATTATTGCAACATTCACACTTGACAAGAGTTCTTTCTCCCACCCTGGACATGCCACAGATATTTAAACCCCTCTTGCCTAGTTTCCAACAGACCTCACAACCTCTGAGTATGCCTGCCATAAATGTGGGCAAAACGTCAGGAGAGAATGCTTCTGGAAAACAGCCATACAGCCCAGAAAACTCACAGCAACCCAGTTTCTTGACAAGATTTGTTCAGAGATATTTGCCATTGCCTTCCCAGAGCTTGAGAGATTTTCACCTCAAAATCCCAGCTTGCTATGGGCAATTTCATCCCCAGGCATGACTTCGTGGCCTGTTGAGTCTACAACTGCTGCCCTCACAAGTTTTGAGAATGATGGTGAAAGGAGAAATCCTCCATTTCAACAATTGGATGTACATGAGAAAAGGGAAGGGGTGGGATGGGGGAGTAAAGGGTCCTCTCATGGCTTCTTTCCTGTGTCTTCAAGTTGCTCTGACTTCGGGTAACCCCAGTTTGTTCAGAAGAGGTTCACCATTGCCTTCCCAGAGCATGAGAGATTTTTCCCCCAAATCCCACCCACTAAGAGCTAAATAGCACTGTGATCACCCTTGCAATGAATGATTCCATGCCAGTTAAGTTCCTGGCAGCGCAGTGGAACAGAGCACTGTGACTAAGGCAATTTGCTCCTGATCTGGTGAGACTGGCCTTGGTTTGGTCCCTTTGTTGCTGCCCATACAAAGAATGGGCAGGCCTAGTTGTGAGAGAAGTCAGGGATCCTACCAAATAGATGGTATCAGTTTGCTTGTAGTAACCAGAATGCTAGGCTGAAACCTGGGAAATCAGGCTCAAATTCCCAATGGATGGTGGGAACTTGCTGGGTGACTTTAGGGAGAACAGCCTGGCTCCCTTCCAGGTTGTCAGAATCAGAAGCTTCTTGGAGGAAAGATGGAAGCTAAAGCCAGCTAATAAATACATAAAATAATTAACCAGTGAGGAGCCAGGCTAGAACTAGACATCTAGACTTCCAGGACCACTTTAGAGTGGCCCAGCCCAGAAATCACAGCCTGAGCTCATTTTGGATTTCACTCTGTTGTTCTTAAATCTCCCATCAATCCAGTGAGCATGTATAAGTGAGAGGTTATTGGTCCCTGCTGGCTTCTATGTCTGTGAGGCATATTTACAGTGCTGAACAGTATCTCCAAACCAGGTTGAGCACTTTAGCTCACTCCTTTAAAGTTCATGCTAAAATCCAAAGTAGATGTATTGCCATCAAGTGCCACATCTATACTAGAAGACGTGGCATGACTGCATATTACAGTATTAAGCTAGATGCTGCCAGAAACAAAGTTTTTCTTGGACCTCTTTGTTGGAACATGTAAGGAATCATTGAGTGTGTGTGTGTCAACTGTAAAATAAGGTGCATGAAGCTGATTGGTCAAGCTATGCCCGGGGAGCAGGCTGAACTTGGGACTTTTGGATACTGTTACATTTTTGTTCAGGCCTGAATTATGCAGGTGCAGAGAGCGAACCAGAGAGAAGCAGAGAGGGAGACAGAGTTTGGAGTGTGCTCTCGCTTCATGAGCTGCTGGACTAAAACCGCTTTGAGTCGCCTGAGGGCTGAGAAAAGCGGTATATAAATAAAGTAAATAAATAAATAAATAAAACCATTTTAAATCTCTCATAAAATGACATTATGTGAGTTGATGTAACTAATCACATTGTACATAGGTTGTTCTGAACTACAAAGAGTAAACTACTTGTTATTCATTGTTCACCTACATGGTATATTTTCTTTCTCTGGCAAGGCAGTGTGTGGGCTGATCAAATGTGAACTACACGTGATTTATTTTACATTACGCCACACTTTTGACTGAGTTTTAGGGAGAGCCATGTTAGGAGAGTCCCTAAATACCCACTCTGTGGAAGATGCATGTTTCCCACTGGTGTCTTCTGAAACTGAATAATTGAATTTGTTTTCATCCCAGGTTTTAGAAATTATTTTTTGAGGGAAAATAAAGCCAACGTTGCTTTAACCAGCTTTTGAGGGCACTGTTTATGACAGCAGAAGAATGTAAATACTACAGTTGGATCCAGTTTTCCTCTGCTGTTGGCTGCTGTTTTGGAGGAAAAGCATCAAAGGCTTTCCAAAGAAGTCTAGCAGTTGTTAGTGCCATGTGGGGACATGGGTAGTGGTCACAAATCACCTGCAGAATGGGCAAAGATTCATACAGTTTGTCCCAGCCAAATGGCAGCCTTCAGACTTGCAGAACTGCAAAACAAAGCAGAGAGAGAAACAAACAAAACAAATGGGTTCTTCAAACTCAAGCATTCAGGTCCTTAATAACTTTGAGAACTTTGTTTTATGTCCGTCTCTTTCAACTTGAAGAAAATGATGAGCCAATCAGATCTGTAGCCAGAACTTTGGAGTTCGGGTGGCTTCAATATCACCAGAATGGCAAGCACAGATAAATGAAAAGGAGGTGAGGCGCGATACTCGTAAATACTTTATTAAATAAGATTGACATCCTCTACCAAGAGATAAATATGAGCACACACCAGGAAAATAATGCCTAGTAAGATCAGCTTTATTGGGGATGACAGAGGAAGGAGACTGAGGGGACATTGCTTAGTCACAATATCTGAAGTGC